CCTTCCAAGAGAAAGTGACCTTATACTGCGATACTCTTTTGCCTGAAACAAGCATTGGGCCATATATAATTCTACGAGCACTAAGAACTTGTCTCATGGAGTTGTAGTATGCTTAGCCTAGATATGTTACTGAATATAGGAAATTTTTATGCAAAATCACGGGGCTTGACGGCCATTAAAGCTATCCACAACTTTACACCGTAATCTTATCATGATACCATTATATCGGCAATTATAAGCTCATGCCAGTTCTCAAAGTAATCGCTAAAACCTAAAAAGATTGGAAAGCAGAGGATTTAACGATTAAATAGGAAGGAGGATCCAAAGAAACAAAGAGGAAGTTAACTTGGCAGGTTGCAAAATGGTAGAGGCAGCCGCAGTGGGCAGTGTGTGCGGCCACCAGTTCCCGCGGATCAGGCTCAGAGAGCAGGCTACGATCAAGTAAAAAGTGAGCTTCAGAAAAAAAGTAAATGCTTTGTGGAAGTTGCCCATCAATCCAGGAGTCCACATTGTTGGAACAGGAGACAAGTCTTACTTATGTATAGGTAGTATTTTGGCCAAGGTTGATTTGAACGCCAGCAACAAGCAATAATAGACCTTATTCCATAAAAAGGCAAACTTTTGCGTTAGTTTATCTTATAATCAAGTAACTTTTGGTAATTTGTAACATGAGAGCCGGGTCCAATTTCTTCTTCATAATGATTCAATAGCACGTACGCAACATCATCTCGAGTGCGTAACCCATGATACCATTCCTCTTCTTCAATATTCCTTCGTTTCGACGATGTCAATCCCATTTTTCCTGGTACTGCAGCTATCGAGGCCTTCAAGGATGTCGTAGATTATAAATGGAGTTATTGAAATATCTGGTAATTGCAAAGTAACCCACGCTTCTATTCTTTGGAACGTTTTTGGACTGCCATCGCAACTGAATAATTTCACCTTTAATTCATGCGAATATATAAATAAAAGTACTGCAGACACAGAAAACAATTTCAGTTCTCAATGCAAGTGTTACTTCACTTAGGCGAGCTTTATTGCACTTTGTTCATTCTATTGGTAAGGAAACGAGCCCGAGTTCACATTCACAATGACTTGCAGCAGCCAATAAGGGGTTTGAATTTGACAGTAGAGCGCCAATTCTACAATAGAAGAATACTCAGTCGAAGTGACGATTCAAGACGATATGCGTACTGCCAATGAGTTTGAATACGACACCACAATTCTCTCTTCCATATCTGCGACGTGTTTCCTTAAAAGAAGTTATGAGCTTTATTTGAATTACAGCTTACCTTTTCTGCACTCTGGCACTAGACGCAGTTAAACTCTCTATTTTTGCCTACATCGGCCGCGAATCAGAATTAGCGAAAAGATTCCAGAACGGTGAGGCAAAATGAAAATAAGTAATGGAAATCTTGTATGACTTGTGTGAAAGGTGTTACGAACAGTGGCAATGGCAATTGATTTTATCAAAAAGGTGTTTGATAATTAATTTTGTTTAAATCTCTTGGATATTTACTTTTGATTTGAAAGACATTTTTTACCTGAAAGCGTGTATTCACAAAATGCTAGTTTGAAACGACTTACGTTGGCACAAAATAGTGTTTTTGTAAAGAAGGTAAATCTAGTTTGGAAATAACATTTAAGTAAGTTCAAAGCAAGGGCCGATTAGAGGGT